GGCCGGGGCCCTGCAGCTTTTGGCTGGAGAGCCTCAGAACTCGGCCATTTATGATAAGATGTGGTCAGGAGTTCCAGGTCTGATCCTCCTGGACCACAGACCCTTCACTTCTGGAAGGGTTCCAGGGCTCAAGCTCCAGTTAAGTCTCGGTCCTTTGGTTCCATGGTGAGCGTGGTCATGAGAATTTGGTTCTGGGTGCAACTAGAGATCCAAGTTCCCTCTTCTGCCTATGCTCCAGCTGTTGTCTGGGGAAGGCAACTCAGTATCTTGTTAGAAACCAGACAGGAGGATTCTGAGCTGGTTCTGGGGTTACACTCATCTTCGGGGATTTTCAGCAGCTTTAGGCCGGCATCCGCTCCCTCTGTCCTGAAACACACTCATCTCGGCTTCCAGAGCGCTGCACCCCGCATTCCCTTCTGCCGCGCTGGCTGCTCCTTTCCACTTTCTTTTTCTTTTTCTTTATTGATATTATAGAGAGAGGAAGGGAGAGGGAGAGAGAGAGAGAAACATCGATGAAAAAGAACACTGATTGGCCGCCTCCTGCATGCCCCCCACTGGGGATCGGGCCCACAACCTGGGCATGTGCCCTGACCGGGAATCAAACTGGTAACCTCTTGGTGCATGGGTCAATGCTCAACCACTGAGCCACACCAGCTGGACCCAATTTCTCTTGTTGATTCTGCTTGTCTGCGTGGCCTCACATTTTGGAGAGTTTCAGAACTCATTTGGGGGCCTCGATAGTATGTCTGTTCACTCCTTTGGAATTCTCCGGTTTCAGAGCTGTGCACGGTCGATAAGCTAACGAGCACCAGATAAACGTCTCCAGTTCTGACCTCAGAGTCCTGTCACGTTTGTCTCCACATCACCACTACTCAGATGTCTAATAAGCATCTCCATTTTTATATGTTTGGGATCAAACTCCTGCTCTCCCCCTAAAAACCCACTTGCACAGGTTTCCTGTCTTGGTTCATGGTAACCATCCTTCCAACTGATCATTAGGACAAAACCTTTGGAGTCATTCTTGATGCCTGCATGTCTCTCACAAATAAGCTCGATCTGTCAGTAAATCCTCAAGTTGAACCTTCAAAACATTTCCAACATCGTACCACTTCCTTCTCTGCTGCTGCGATGCTACCCTGGTCCAAGCCACTAAGGCTAGTGCCAAGCTTATTGCCACCGCCTCCTAACTGGCCTCCCCTTCCACCCTCACCTCCCAATCAGTCTGTTCTCGATGCAGCGTGAAAATGTCAATCCGATTAGGCCAGTCCCCTGCTCCCAGCCTTCCAGTGGCCCATGTCACTCAGAGAAGACGAAGTCCGTGTAATGGATTACCAAGGCCTTCACAACACCCTCCTCCCCTGTACTCCGACTCTTCCTCCCCTCCTTTACTCCGCTTCATTCATACCTTCTTCCTTGCTGTTCCTCAAACATGGTTGGTGTGTTCCTGCTTCAGGGCCTCCCCAAATCTTTCCTCTTAGCCTAGAATGCTCTTCCCGCACTGGTCCTCCTGGATCATTCCTTCATCTCCTCCAGATCGTCACTCAAATGTCACCGTGTCACTAACGGCCTCCCTGACCACACTCTTACCACTGTAACCCTCCTCCCTCTCCACCCCCCAAGGTCTCTAGCACTTCCCTCAGTTTCTCTCTAGCAGCTGACTTCTTCTAACGCACATACATTATTTATGTGTTTATAGTCGGTTTCAAGCCAGTATGTGAAGAACGTGAGAGTGGGAATTTCTGTCGGTTTTGTGGACTGCTATTTATCCCCAGGGTCAAGAACAACGCCTGGTAGATAGTAAGAGCTTAGCTAATATGTATGGAATGAATACATGACTCACTAGCAGAACAAATCTTCAGTGCAATTAAGATACTTAAGGCAGACAGTGTTTTTAATGCTTCTTTCCATTTTTGATCCAAATACGTAGTCTCTCCAAATAAGTTATGTCATCTGTTCCCAAACAACATTATCAACTGCCTTTTCTTCCTTTCTTAAAAAAATTTTTTCTTTCAATCAAGAGAACAAAGATTATAATAGAGTGTACAACAAAACCTAGTTATTAAAACAGTGCTTGCCAATAATCCACAAATCAAAACTAAACAGGGCATTCAAACCTTGAGAGGTAATATGTGCATAGTTGCTCGATTCATTTATATGATTTTTTTTCTTTCCAGAGAGAGGTTAAAGAAACAAATATGACTCAGAGGGAAGGAAAAGATCAACAAATGAATAGGTTTAATTGTATGATTTCTAAAATAAACTACACAAATGAGGGAGAAATTTGACCCTTCTGATATGAAGACCTTATGTTATTAAATAAAGAGCACTTCCTATTCACTTGAATGTAGAAAAAAAAATGTCAGTGCTTGGAAAATTTCAGATTTGTTCCCCCAAAATGACAAATTCACAGTTTATTGATATTTTAAAAAGGATAATTTATTTCACATGAAAATGTACAGAGGAAGTTGACTATGAGGCCAAAGACCCAAGTTGTTTCCTCAGAACAAATGCATTCAGGAAGCTTTTCTGCCCAGTTGCCCAGCAGCAGTGGGGGGCCGTGAGCTCCCTGGGGGTGCTGAGCAGACCTCATATGGCTCATCTGCCCAGCAGTCATCCCCAAAGTGGCGCAAGGTGAAGAGCCCCCAATATTATGATGCAGCTACGTTGGTGGTGGCAATGCCCATTACCAAAGGAACACAACCTTACAAAAAACAGTCACTAAGTATACAGAGAAAATGCACTTGTCAGTCACAGTGATGACTACATCAGAGTACACGGGCAACCAGGGAAGTTGATTATGAGAGAAAAACTTGAATCATAATCAGAAATGAAGAAACACAAATGACATCATGACATATTAATGGGAACATCATTCAAATTACACAAATTAATTTGTATATAAGTCACTTTTTATAATTTGTGTATAATTCACAAAGCATATTGCATGCAGACCAACTACTATATGCAATTCATGCCTTTCTATGTAGTATCACTTGCCTATCACAGAAGAGTATTACTTATAGCCAAGTAGCTTTCCAATGCTATGACAATTATTTCTGGAGTTTCAGAGATCATTGTTTCAGTAGGTAATATTTTGAGGGAGTGGAGGTGAATACACACACACACACACACACACACACACCTGTCTCTCCGGAAATGTATAAGCCAGAGAACTATAAACAGTGACTCTTCCAATCACATACATATTAGTTTTTTGTATGTGATTGGAAGAGTCACTGTTTATAGTGACTCTTTTTTATTTTTATCCTCACCCTAGGACACTTTCTCATTTTTTGTTCAGACAGAGTGGGAGGGAGAGAGAAGAGAGAGAGAAACATCGACATGAAAGGGACACATCAAATGGTTGCCACCCACACAACCCAACCAGGGCCGGGGACAAACTGCAACCGAGGTACATGCCCTTAGCGGGGACCGAACCCGGGTCTCTCTGGACCGCAGGTTGATGCTCTAACCGCTGAGCCAAACCAGCCAGGGCAATTACATACATATGAGTTTTCACTCTAAAGGCCTGAATGTGAAATAAACTGACTTCCTGGTTTATTTTTTTATTTTTTATCCTCACCCAAGGACATTCTTCCATTTTTTGTTTAGATAGAGTGGGATAGAGTGGGAGGGAGAGCGAAGAAGAGAGCGAGAGAGAGAAACATCGATGTGAAAGGGACACATCGAGTGGCTGTCACCTGCACAACCCAACCAGGGCCAAGGACAAACTGCAACCGAGGTACGTGCCCTTAGCGGGAACCGAACTCAGGTCTCTCGGGACCGCAGGCTGATGCTCTAACCGCTGAGCAAAACCGGCCAGGGCCTGACTTCCTGGTTTAAACAGTCCTAGTTTATTCTTGTTTTCCAACATAATTTTAATAATGCAGCCACCCTCCTCCCTCTAAATGTGTTCCTGTTCGGACAATAAATTATATGATGACCTCACCTAAACTAGCTATTGTCTTTGCTATGGACTGTTAAGCTTTGGCTGTGAAGCCAGCGGAATTAGGGCTGTGATTTGCCCGTGAGGATGTGTTGGTCAAATGGGTTAAATCACCCTGCCTTTTCCCACACAGAAGAGTTGTGAGTCTGGCCATGTAAACAATGTCAAGAGGACTTTTGATAGTGAAAGCATAAGCTCTGTTCCTCTACAGTTTATATATATATATATATATATATGAGTTTTTTGTTAATCCTCTCCCGAAGATATTTTCCCATTAATGTTTAGATAGAGTGGAAGGGAAAGAGGGGGTAGGGGGAGAGAGAGAGACATCAGAGTGAGAGAGACACATCAATTGGTTGCCTCCCGCACAACCCCAACCAGGGCCAGGGATCATGCCCTTGGCCGGGAATGGAACCCTAGACTTCAGTCCATGGGCTGCTGCTCTACCCGTGGAACGAACCAGCCAGAGCCCTCTGCAACCTTTTGAATTTGCTATTCACACAGCCTGCCGTGATCATTTTGGAATAATGGGGATTTTAAATGCCACCAACAGTAATGAAAAAAGTCTCACAATTTTGTCTTATTTCCGGCTTCTCAAACAGAAGAGAGAGATAAGGCTTTGAATCACGAGCTATTTATTTTTAAATTAACAGTACAAAACAGAAGACCCTCTCCCTCCCCAGTACCAGGCCTAGAATTATTAAGAATGGCATCTCCGTAGAATGGAGAAGCTGGACACCAAGCATTCAACTAAAATCCAGGATACCCTGCCGTCCTCCCTCCCTGCCTCTCCCAATACCTGGTTCTTATTCTCACTCAGTGAGAAAGTCAGTGGAGGGGCTACTGAGAGTGGAGTGAGGTAAGTCAGTGCTCATCCAGGGCAGTAATTTGCAAGGCAGCAGGTCTACTTACCCTCACTCCAATAGCAGCCCCTCACCCGGTGGGATGCTGTGGGTTCCAGAGAACCTGGTCTCCCACCCCACACCGTCCCAGCTCCTTCTGGGCGTGTTCACACATCTTCTAGCCCCACAGGTAGCAATTCTCTCAGTGACTCTCAGAGTTCAGTCCCGTAGATAGCCTTATAGCGTAAGTATTCTTCCAAGCACTGAAGAACATTATCATCCACCTTTGGGTCAAACTTATTGGCCAACAAGTGATGGTTCTGAAGAATCCAGTGAAGGTCTCCAGCCCCATAAATACAGATTGCCCGCTGGTGGGTTCCAGAGCAAGGTGCATAAGGTGCCCCACTCCTGATGTCTCCTTCATGGACCTGCCACTTTACCAGCCTGACCATGGCAGCCATGTCTGACATGTGAAATTTGGGGTGGTAGGGAACAGAGCCAGGCATCCATGGTGCACGCTGAAGGGTGGCCCAGAGGTGTTCATCGGGGCTATAGGTATCTTTTACCCATTCAATCAGTTGTTGGGCTTTGGGGTTCTCTAAGACCTGCTGGACAAAGCCTCGAGAAGCCACAATGTAGGCATTCCCCGTGAATATAGGTATATTATCAGGGGGAGGGGCCTTCGTCTTGCTGGTGATCTGTATTGTGTCTGTCACCTCATAGTGATATTGCCAGCGAGACTGTTTGTACTCAGTAGGTATCTCTGACTCCATACTATTCTTCCCATTCAACATCTTGAGGGCCAGGACCATCTCGGCATTGGTCTTTATGGGAAAGTCTGTTCCGCACGTATTCAGGAGGTATCTCCATGGCACTGAGCTCTGGAGCAAGTCTTCCATACAGTTCAGGTCAGCCTGCACTCTGGACCAGGAGGCGTAAACCACCCGAACCGACTTACTGGCCGTGAAGACATTTGGAAAGCATGAAACAATGGCTTTGACTGCCTCTTTGAAAGTTTCTGGGGACTTCTCATCCACATGAACACAATATATGTTCTGAGGGGCATACACAGCTCTCAGCAGCCTTTCAAAGCTTTCAATCTTCTCGTGGACCACCATAGAGTATGCAATAGGGAAGTCCAACTCTTCTTTGCTGAGTGGGTATTGTATGAACTTCCTTTTGGCCTTAAAGTGCTCACAGTCTCTGGTCATGTTGAGGTAGGTGGTGGCCGTGAACGGCTCCCGCTTCTTCACCTCCAGACGGTCCAGGAGAGCCTCCCTCACGGCTTCCTTGTCCCCTCGGATTATTCTAGAGCAGTTGATGGATCGCTTTGCTGTCAACTTCAGGGACTTGTACAAGATGTCTCTGCAGCGCTTGCTTTGAAAATCCCTGGACTCCAGATCCAGGGAATCAAAGTTGCATTTCAGCCGGAGAGAGAATCTCAGAGCAACAACGGCCAGAAGCAAATAGCAGCCGAGGACCCACAGGTAATGCTGCCGGCACAGTCTCTTCCACCGGGTCATCTTCATGGTACGGGAGATTGGTAGAGTTTGGGCCCGGGAAAAAGGAGGAGGGTGAAATCCTTGAACAGAACAAAACGCCTTCAGTCACAATCTAACCCTGAATGTGTTCTCAGGAATACCAAGTCCAACTCCAAAGTGATGGCAAATGTATTTCTTCTCTAGACCAATATCCTCAGTCAAGACCCACCTAGGAACCTATTACTCTTGGGTTGCTAATGGAGATCTATAACCTGACTGTACAAACTAGCTGATCATGTTACAATCAGGACCGGGTCCACCTCCACCCCAGGAGAAAGGGAAGAGGAACTGAGCACCTGCTGCTGTGGAAGTGGAAACAGTAAGAGGAATTACCCATCCTTTATTCCCCTTCTTCCCTCCATCCGTTACCACCCCACTTCTAGCACAGATCTTATTGGGGCCTAGAATTTCTGATAGGTCTAGAGAGAGAAATCCATTAAATTCAGATTCTCAGTATCAGTTCTAGAAATTTAAAAGTCCTTAAAAAAAAAAGTACATTTCTTGCTCTTATTTGGCAATTTATATGTTAGGATGCAGTCATCATCTATAATTCATTAGTTAGATGTAATATCTAACCACCCTTTAAAAAAAATGTTCCTTCGCCCTGGCAGGAAAGCTCAGTTGGTTAGAGAGTCGTCCCAATATGCCAAGGTTGCAGGTTTGATCCCCAGTCAGGGCGCATACAAGAATCACCCAATGATGCATAGACAAGTGGAACAACAAATCAATCTCAATCTCAATCACACAATCAATCTCTGTCTCTCTCTCTCCCTTTTCCTCCCTCCCTCCCTTCATCTCTCTCTCTCTCTCTCTCTAAAATCAATACATTAAAAATAATTTTAATTAAAAATGTTCTTTAAAATTTGGATATAATACAAAAATGCATTTAATCATTTATACAGATAATATTTACACACAGACACACAGAGAGCTATGCATATACAATGTTTAATGAGTGCTTTCTATGTGCCAGAAATATTTCTTTACGTGGTCTCATTTAATTTTCACAACATACCTAAAATGTTGTATTATTAGACCTTTTATAGATAGGAAAACAAGCTAAATAACTTGCCAAATATTACATATAAGAAGCAAATCCGGGACTCCCTTACCACCCCTCCCCCCTCATTATTTTTTCTACCAACTTAATAGTTAATCCTCCAAACCACAGCTAACTTTAAAAGATAACACAGGGTACTGAACACCATTAAAGAAAACCAGATACTGTAAATGAAAATCCCTAAAAGGAGAGACACAAAATGTGACACATCCAGCAGAGATTGTTTCTCCCTTTTGTATACTCTTTAGTAATAATCTCTATGGGAATCTAAGAGGAAAACACATGAAAATTTAAGAAAATTCTCACCTTTAATAGCTTCTTTCCTACTTAGGGTAGATCTCTTGCCATGGTTTGTTTTTATTTCCAAGTGAAGATTGGTTAGGTTCCATGGAAGCAAATGTGAGCACCATATCCCTAGGTCTTCTGTTAGCTCTTCCAAAGAATAGTTTCTGATATTCACAGGACATCCAAGAAATTGTCTCAGGTTCCTCCTTAATTTCTGCAAAGTAGAGAGCAGTAAGTGGCTTTATCACTCATCTTTCAGATTTCCTACTCTCAGATAAGAGAGCAAGCTCAGATATACCATTCAGGAGCATACTCTCAAGACTGAGTCATTCAGGGAAGTGAGAGGGGCAGGAAAAAATGCTGACAATATCTGAGAAGGCAAGCAGATATTTCAACCAGGACAGCGAGGTTATATTCATGCTCTCCTGCGGAAAGCAATTCATTAAAAACCTGTCAGTACGCAATTAGAACTTGAAAGCTTCCCCCACCCCACCCCTTAACAAAGAATCACGGAAACACACAGGTATTTCCTCTGCCTTCTTCTGGCCTGGAATCCAAGTGTCATTCCTCTCATGTTCCCTGAACATTACAAGAGTTAAGCAATAAAAAGACAAGGATTGTTTCTTCTGTTTTTTTACTTAAAAAAAAAAAATGTCAATGAAAACGAGAGTTTGTTCTTCAAATGGCAACTACTTGAAAAAATCCATTTGCTTGTCTTTCCATGATTGTTAGTACTCTGCACACTGTAGAAATATCCACAGGGTTCCAGACTGTAGATCCCCCTCATTAACATCTGTGAGTCTAGGGTTCGTGGCAGTCTGAAGAATGGGTAACACTGTGCAGTTAGACTTCAGTGACAGCCCGTGAAGTGATCTGGGCAAAGCAGAGTGGAAAATGCCTTTTTCAAAGCCACTGATATTGTTTGTCACTGTTTGTCCTACCTCCTCACCCCTAAACCAGCCTCCTCACCCCTAAACATGCAGCATCCTGGCCAGATATCTGAACTAGCAAATTTAATATAAAAAAGTTAATAACTAGGTATAAAGTTGTTAAGTAACCCAGGCAGTGTGGTTCAGTGGTTGAGCATCAACCCGTGCAACAAGAGGTTGCTGGTTCAATTCCCGGTCAGGGCACATGCCGATGTTGTGGGCCTGATCCCCAGTGGGGGGCCCAATCCCCAGTGGAGGGCATCGGCCAATGGATGTTCTCTGTCATCAATGTTTCTCTCTCTCTCTCCATTCCTCTCTCTAAAATCAATAAAGAAAAAATATTTTTAAAATAAATAATAAAGTTGTTAAGTAAATAACTGAGAAGGGGTGTGTGGTGGGAAAGTGCAGATGACACTAAATTATTAGGGAAATAGCAATTGCTGGAAATAGCTACCACCCAGGCTGGAAGAATGAAGGGGGAAAAATGGGAATTATTAAACTTAGAATTGGGGAAGAAAGGTGCCAAAGAGCTGAAACTCAGAGATCTGTCATAGGGACAGTATTCAGTTACTGCTGGGCACTCCGAGCTCAGAGGAAGGCCAGACTGAGACCCAGACCTCTTCCGAGGTACTTGGTGTCTCTGTCGGCTGTTACCGTAAACGGGGCTCAGTGCAGCTACATAAAACAAACCACCACGCCAAAGCGTAGGCATGGTGATGCTCACAGAGGCAGGAAGTAGATAGGAAGCAAACAGGAAGCCCCGCCTCCAGCCTCGCCATCGCCCTCCAGCGCCCCCTGCTGGCAGAGCCTAACAGGTAGCGGCTAGCAAAGCACACACGTGGATTGCACCCCCTGCCCCCCCCCCCCCGCCCCCGCACGCAAGGCTAGTCCAGGGGGTTGGACGTCCTCAATAACAATGATCAAGTCAGTGTTGCCAACTTCCGTAAGAACTGACGACCAGCCCCGAAGATAGCATAGGGAATTGGGTCTTTTCTTTTTTCTTTTTGGACCTCCCCTGCCTGTTTCTAACTGTCAATGAAGACAGGCCAATGGTAGGGAGCCATATAGAGTCATCCGCACCCCCTTTTATTGGCCCCACTCCACAGGCTCTGTCTTCTGCCAGCTTCGGTCACTCCAATTCTGAGTAACTCTGTTGTTGGGCTGTAAAACCTCTGAGACAGCCCTGGCTGGTTTGGCTCAGCAGTTAGAGCATCGGCCTGCGGTCCAGAGAGACCCGGGTTCGGTTCCCGCTAAGGGCACGTGCCTCGGTTGCAGTTTGTCCCCGGCCCTGGTTGGTCGTGCGGGTGGCAGCCACTAGATATGTTCCTTTCATGTCAGAGTTTCTCTCTCTCTCTTCCTCTCTCTCCCTCCCACTATGTCTGAACAAAAAATGGAAACATGCCCTCAGGTGAGGATAAAAAAAATAATATAAAATAAAAATAAATAAATAAATAAATTCATAAAATCTTTTTTTTTTTTTTTTAATCCTCACCTGAGGATATTTTTCCATTTTTTTGTACAGATAGAATGGGAGGGAGAGAGAGGAAGGGAGAGAGAGAGAGAGAAACATCGACGTGAAGGGACACATCAAGTGGCTGCCACCCGCACGACCAACCAGGGCCGGGGACAAACTGCAACTGAAGAACATGCCCTTAGCAGGAACCGAACCCGGGTCTCTCTGGACCGCAGGCCAACGCTCTAACCGCTGAGCCAAACTGGCCAGGGCCATAAAATCTTTGAGACAAAAATAATTAAAGGGCAAACACCTGCTCCAGTATCTGAATCTATAAAACCTCTCCCATTTCTTTATTTTTTTTCAAGTTATAGAAGTACATTTATTTTACATTTTATATACTAAGAACAGTATAACTGTAATAAGGAACAAAGGGGAGAGAATGCTAGGTATACATATTTACATAGCAAGAATAGGCAAAACTTATGAAGAAGAGTCTTTAAATTTTAGCATTTATCAAATCAGTTTCTAAGAATAATTCTTCATCATCTTCAGGAAGAATTTTTAGGAGTCTCAACCTATATGATTCAAGCTATGACTATCTTAATGAAAAAATTATATTCTTTAAAAGTCTCCAAGGTCCTGGAGGCCAAATAAACCACATCACCACTACTTTTTAAAAGATTCAAAGGCTCTTAAATTAGAATGTCATGACTGCTTTAAGAAACCGTTTTTAAAACAACTCAAACATACTATCATTTGCTGAGTGATACAATATAGACTTAGCTTGCATTAATTTCTTAATCCATTAAAAATGGTTTCTGTTACCTTAGTGAGACCCTATTGTTCTCTAATGAGAAACATTAAATCAGTTACTATTTAGCTCTTAGGGAAGTCAAAGTGTGTCTTCCGCCTTTAATAACACTGGCATACATGGGGGAAAAAATCAATATCCCTAACTATCATCAGTAACCAGTTAACTGCTGGATATTCCAAAACCAGAGATGGGTATTCTTAAGAGTCAAGACTTTCAGACCTCTGCACTAATACATCCTGGTGCACAGATTTCCTTTAATTTCACTAACAGGAGATTAACACGTTGTGGAAGACATGTGTATCTTTGCAATCTTGCCTTGTAAGTGCAATCTCAGCTTTCGCTGCTCACACTTTGGTCACCTTTTGTGTTTGTCAGTTCTTCCTTTAGGTCACTGTGTAATACGATGTCCAAAATTATTAGAGCTCCTCCTTAAAGTTTCTGGAC